CATAATTATTATTGAATAAGGAATATGTTAAATATATTTTCGAAAATATTTACAGGACTCAATATGCAGTTTTGTAGGAAATTCCCGAAGGCCCTTGTGCTGCTGTATGGACTCAGTCTAAAACATGACGTTGGTTCTGATTCTGAGCCATTTCAATTTTAAGAAGGATAATACAAGTCCAGGGATTAAAAAAGAAGACCTATTTATCACCTTGAAACACTTCAAAAAAAAAAAAAAAAAAACTAAAAACAGACGTGAGGTAGGATATTGATTTAATGTATTACGTAAACCGGTTCGTTAACTGTGTATATGCTTTTTTCTCTTCAAATATAACAGTATATTTTAGAGATCCAATGTTTTATTTTATATTATAGACCAATAAAAAGACAATATCAGAAGGCCTGCATAATGTCTATAGATATTTAACGGCTAGAAATTGTAGGCTTGTGGTTCTTTTATAGGCAAAAGCATGATGATGTGATTATTGACAAAGGTAGTTCACTATTTCAAATGTATGCATTAAAAGATTCAGGCACAAAATGACACTCAATAACCTTTTTGTACATCAGTAACTGATCAATTTCATCCTATAAAAAAAACCTGTGTAGCAAGTAAAATGAAATATGTATATGCTGTTATGATAAAGAGAATCATGCTTTAGGGGCTTAAAGCAAGAAGGGTGTGTGGAGAACAGTGAGGAACACAACGAAGTTAAGGACGTTTTTGTAACCTTGAGTAAGATAAGAGATGAAGCATCTTCTTCACCGTATATCATTTCTTCATTGACAAGTTCCTCTTCATTAGCTTCCGAATTAACTTCTTTATTGTATTCGATCGATAATCGGTCTAACGGTGGTTTCACATGCCTGTGGATCACTACGTTGTAGAGAGTGTAAGATCAAATGGCTCATGATAACATGATTTCTTTCTTTTCGAGACATGCCACGATATCTTCCAAGTGCCGACAAGATTAAAGCCTCATATAATACTTTCTTGCACAAACTCGATCGTGGGTAACCCATTTCGCCTTATTTATACCGAAAACCTTGTCGTTCACATCCCAATATTAGTAGTGTTAGTTGAAGAAAATAACACCCGTCCTTGATCATCATCAAATTAAAAACATGATCTTCGTCGTTCACATCCCAATATTAGTACTAAGACCAAATCTTATCTTCCAGATTGGATCAGTACGGTATTGCGAAATTTGCAGAAAGCTTTGAAATGATACCTAAAACTTTGGCTGAGAATGCTGGGCTTAATGCAATAGAGATCATCTCATCGTTATATGCCGAACATGCTTCTGGTAACACCAAAGTGGGCATTGATTTGGAGGAAGGTGTCTGCAAAGATGCCTCGACTGTGCGCATATGGGATCTCCACATTACTAAGTAAGTTACTCCTTGTGAGTGTAGATTAATAATTTAGAATAATGGGTTTTGATACATTTTTTCTTCTGTAAATAATACTTGCTGATTTGGAAAATATGAATATTGCAATGGATTCCCCTCTCTGTTTTCTAGCTAGACCGTCCTAACTTGGCTTATTTCCATTCCTCAACTGCCTTTGACTGAACACAAGCCAGTGATTTCAATCCACCAGACACCTTTTCTCGTAGATCTTATCTGAGAATCTTGTCACGTCATCACATGTCAGAACATCTACAAAGTAAATTGTAAATAGACTCACCACATCAAACTTGCTGCAATAAATCTGATCTGTGGAGTTCCATTTACCAAAGTACTACCTGTAATTGGACTGCATTGACTTGATTCATTAAACTAATAAGTGCCCTGAAGTAAAATATCGGTGGAGGCGTTGGGTCCACTAAGTACTTTTCATGATTCTTAAGCTTTATCTTACCTGCACCACTATTTTTTTTAAAGTCCAAATTTGCCCCCATCCTGGTATCCATTAAGGCCCCTTTTGGTTGGAGGGATGGGTTGGGATGGGATTGGGGATTCATATTGAAATTACACTGTATGGATTAGTAAAATATGGATGGTATCTCGGGTTTGGTTGGTTGGATACGGATATGTGGGATTGAATCCGAAAGAGCCAAACTCAGGAATGGTTGGGAGGATTCGGTGGGATAATTTGGCTAATTACATTACCACCCCTTGATGCCCTTTTATTATTATAATATACACCTGTCAATTTTTAAATTGCTTGATGCACCCATTCTTTCCTCCCATTTTTCTGTAATTATAAAATCAGCCCTAATATTTTTGGATAATTACATTTCCACCTCTGATAAGCCATTTTTATTATTATATTATACACATGTCAATTTTTAAAATATTGCTTGTTGCACCCAATCTTTCCTTCCATTTTCCTTTAATTATAAAATCAGCCCATATATTTTTGGATAATTACATTTCCACCCCTTGCAAGCCCTTTTTATACACCTGTCAATTTTTAAAATATTGCTTGTTGCACCCATTCTTTCCTCCCATTTTCCATTAATTATTAAATCAACCCTAACGTTTCCGGATAATTACATTACCACCCCCTGCAAACCCTTTTTATTATTATATTATACACCATTCAGTTTTTAAAATATTGCTTGCACCTCTTCTTTCCTCCCATTTTCCTTTAATTATAAAATCAGCCCTAACATTTTCGGATAATTACATTACCACCGTTTGCAAGCCCTTTTTATTATTATATTATACACCTGACAATATTTAAAATATTGCTTGCACCACACATTCTTTCCTCTCATTTTCCTGTAATTATAAAATCAGCCCTAACATTTTCGGATAATTACATTACCACCCCTTGCAAGCCCTTTTTATTATTATATTATACACCTCCCAATTTCCGAAATATTGGTTGCACCACCCATTCTTTCCTCCCATTTTCCTATAATTATAAAATCAGCCCTGATATTTTTGGATAATTATATTTCCACCCCCTGCAAGCCCTTTTTATTATTATATAATACACCCGAGCTATGATGAATTTGCTTTACTTCCAAAATAAACGTTTGGAAAAATGACATTAATATAACAGTTAGATGTCATTATCATATCTTCTAGTTTCTACAAAATATGAAGCTAATAAAATGGAGCAGTAGCTCCAAAATAACAGATTTTTTTGGAATCCATATTAGACATTTTAGCTCCACACTAACAGAAACTTCACTAAATACTTGTATTACAGAAAATTTTTTTGGAATCCATATAATCTGCCATATTACAGAAAATTTATATTTGTGACACACAAATGGACAACTATAATGTCCACCACAAAATTAAATTAAAGAAGAAATAAAATGTCTTCAATGCAAATAACGCCGCAAGATGGAGTCCGAATACGGAAAATTTCTTCGTCGCCTTGTGAGTGGATGGTAGTCTACCTATCCGAAGTAAAGACCTTCGAGGATCATTCGAACCATAACCCCCTTTTCGGACTCATTTAATTCGAAAAATATGTCGAGGTCGGTTGGGCTATTGCAAACGGCTTTAGCGACGGTGATCTTATCATCATCGACACCTAAGAATAACGGCGATAGGGCATCCAACACCTTCTTACGTGTAGTGGACGCATCGTGCTCAAAACCGATACGGTGGGCCACATCGTGCTCAAAACCTTCTTACATATAACAGTATATAACAATATATAACAATATTTACTGTAAAAAACAATATATAATAGAACAATGACCAATAGACCTGCAAAATTATCAATTGATTGGATCTATTTTCAGTCATTTCCTGTTCGAATTCAACAATTGTAAATCCTACAACATTTCCTCAAGCATAAAATTTGATCATTACTCCAAAAACTTCAGCTTTTATTAACATTGGATTCAACAAATGTATGATCTACTACTTTCCCGAAATAAAAATTTCATATTTATTCCAAAAACTGCACCTTTTCCAAACCTTGCATTCTAACAAAAAACAATACAAAAGGGGGCAACTAAATTTCAATTGAAGTCTGGACAAACCCAAAGGTTTTTTTTTTTTCTTCCAAAAAATGGTTATTTTCCAGTTAAGTTCATTCTGTTCCGATTAAGTTACCCGATACAGACAACTTCGGATATAGACACATACAATGTGTTCAAACATACAACTTGAACACAAATGAGGCCCATATATATTCACCTTTATATGAAAATTAACAGCACATATTTTCTTCACTAAGACATAAATACTCTTCCAAACAATAGAATGTAAAGTTAATCTGAAAATTAACAGCACATATTTTCTTCACTAAGACATAAATACTCTTCCAAACAATAGAATGTAAAGTTAATCAGTTATATGTTTAATCGATAATGGAGGGAGCGCTCAAGTAGCCGAGCCGAGCCGGCGGGGGTTCCAATGCGAAACAGATTCATCAGACGACTAGACATGCAAGCTGCTCTCATCTGCAACACTGTAAACAACTACGGTTCGAATCCCCAACCTCTTGGCAGTTCGATCCTGCACGCAATTTTGCCTCTATTCGCGATCGCTATCTTCACAATTCTCGCACTTGTTGGGTTGATTAATTTCTGCCAATTAGATGAGAATTCTCTGAATCGAAGAGGTAGAGGTCTGGTTTTTCGATGGATTAGATAGGTTAAGGACGAACGACACGCAGTGGGAAGTGTAGTATGTGTGTGAAAACTCCGATGATTTTTTGGGGCTGAATAAATCGATATATATATGGTGTGGTGTATATTTGTAAATATGAATAAATGGTCAGGGCATTTAAGTAAAATATTTAGAGACCCAATCTTACCTCCATAGGCTGGATCGGAGATCCAGTAATTAAGGGATGGGAGCCCGGGCCCAGGATCAATCCGGAAATGGGTTGGGCTGAACCAAATCTAAGATCCAGATGGATTGTGAGATCAATCACATTGGATCAGCCCAACCAAAAGATCTCCCAAATCTGATTTCGTCTTCTCAATATTATCATAGCCTTCGTGGTTAGATATTCGCCGAAGCACCACGATTCTGAAACGCAACAAAGATAAGGCAGAGAAATCGTTTGAAACGTCTACAGATGTCTACCGAAGCACCACGATTCTGAAACGCAACAAAGATAAGGCAGAGAAATCGTTTGAAACGTCTACAGATGTCTACAGCGCGGCCAAGAACAAGTAAGTTTTTGCTGTAATCTTTTGTTGTTCATCCTTAATTTCGATATCATTTATTTTCAACGCTCTTACTCAGGTAAATCCTCTTTTCCTTACTCTTTAATTCATATATATTCGTCGATAACTGCCGATTTCTCACATCTAGGGTTCTTTTCTCGATTGTCTGTTAGATTTAAATCTTTGTGGCGAATCGAGTGTTAGTCTTGATTTTTTTATGATTTAGATTCTTCATTTTTTGGTTTTTTTTTTTAAATCTGTTTATTGCGTGTGATTTTATGTTTATTGAAGCTTGTGTTTAATTTAGGGTTTATGTTGGAAAAATTTGGGTCTTTAGTGGGAGTTTTGCTAAAGATCTAGACTTGAGATCTAGACTTGAGATGATTATAAAGATCTAGACTTGCCGCCACAATGATACGAATTAGAAGCTATTGTTTTTCTGCGGTGCTGGTCAATTGTAATAGGATTTGAGTTTCGCCGTGGTTTTGGCTTTCTGATTGCTTCCTTTGTTGTTAGAGTTTGAAATGATATCAGTTTCATTCTAATTTGAGAAAATGCCTGCTGACTCCTTAATTTCAGATATTTGAAAAAAAAAATGTTTTCTTTTAAAACAGAATTGGATGCTTGTAAGATTGTTTACATTGTTGAACCCAGAAACAAAATTAGTCTCTGCAGATAGCATTCTAAAAGCCTCTCATTATTTGAAATAACAAGCAGATCACCAGTGCTGTATTTGTTGGTATTCTGTGGATGTTGATGCATTCATTTTGGCTATTTCATATCTAGAAATGCTATTGTATGTTTTGGTTGTTTTCTAATTTCTTTAACTTATACGCAGACCACTCGGGTGCAGACATGATTGATCGTTTTATCGACAATACGATGTTCAGGGATTATAATGAAGCACATAAGGTGAGGTTGAACGGGAAGTATATTGAGCTTCAATTAACTCGGAGGTTTATGGCAGAGGTGGTTACGTTGCCTAGTCCGCTTGTTAAGCGCATTTTGGAGAAAAATATGGAGGAGAAGATGCGTGTCGGTGAAATTAAAGAAGGTGATTCGGTTACTGTTGACCTTGGTTCTGATGGGAAGATATTGGTTCTTGACAGTAGAAGCGGTACTCTGGCGGAAGAGGCTGAGGAAGGTAGCAGTGGTGCTCCGGCAGAAGAGGCTCCGGCAGAAGAGGCTGAGGAACCAGTTATTGTCTAGATGTGCGCCCCATTGTCCTTTTTCCTGTGGTGTTTATTTATTATTATTTTTTTATCGTTCTGGCTATGTTGAGGTGACTGTGTAGAGCCAGTGCAACGAGAATGATTTAGAGTGCTCTTTAACTTCAGAATCGTTCTGGCTGTGTTGAGCTGACCTCCCAGTTGTTATAGTAGACTAAAACTTTCCTATGTAAACAATTTATTTTTAATAAAAGTTTATTCGTTCGAGAATTTGCATTTGGTTATTAGTCGCCTATAATTTGAAAAATGATTATTCAATATATTAATTGCAAGAGTCCAAATATTGTAATAGTATTTGAGATGTTGTGTTAAGTTAGGATGTTGTACACGTAAGATCATTTTTAAAGTTCGTTTAGAATATTAAGTTTATAAGCTTAATTGGGAACTTATAAACTTAATATTCTAAACGAACTTTAATTGTGTGTGTGAGAGAGAGAGAGAGTGAGAGAGGCGGCGGAAAAAAGCTGAGCCGCCGTGCCAAAACCCTTATTGGTTTTACCGCCAAAAGCCTCGTCAATTTCGTTCTGTCCTTGATTTTGTTTGGTTGATTTACACCTTTGTGTTGATTTATTCCTGTAAATCTATCTTAATTTTTTTTAAGTTTATGATAATTATAGAAAAAAAAAATTATTATTATTTTAAGATAAATAGTATATGATTCTTCAAGAATTATTGTTCTTTTTATGAATAAACATCAACCCAAATCATTTGTTGGTTCCGATTAATTCATGATTCGTATTTTTAGAGAAAATTTCACTTTTTTTAAACTTTAAATTCTAATTATTAATAGGTGTTTGAGACATTACTAAGAAAAATCTCAAAATAAGTTTAAATAATTCCGCTTGAAAGCCATACAACTAATCGAGCTCGAGTCAGAGTTCATCGAACTTTAATTATTATTATTTTTAGTTCAAATAGGATAGTTGCCCAAAAAGCTTAAACCTTTGTATCATAAGTGATGATGATAGCATTGATAATAATGTATATTAATCAATATAGATTATATAACATTGACTCGTCCTTAGTGAACTCATCCAATTTGGCATATCTCATTAAAAAAAATGATTAAATAAGATTGTCAAGAAAAAGAAGACTAAAACTTTAAAAGTGGGTTAGAACTTTAAACATTAAATACTTTAGATAGGAATCATTATGTAGCCATTTCATCTCAATATACACTAACAATTTTCAAAAGTAGGTGGTGTTTACTATAAGCTTATTTAAAAGCAGAAGTTAATAATTGTGAGTTAAGTGAGTATTAAATGTTTATTTCAAAAAATTGGGGACATTTGCAAATATGTTAGAAAATCAACTTAAATAGAAAAAACAAGTCTAGAGATGTTTTTAAAAAAATAGTTTAAAGCAACTTATTTTAGGAGAAACATGAACAAAAGCTAGTTTTACAAACACCGAGAAACAGATTATGAGCAAAAAAAACCTCAAAAGCTGCTTCTAAAAATTTTAGCAAACAAGTGAATGAAACAAATATTTAGTACGTGAAGAAATAATTAAAGGGCTAAACCTATTTAAGCCCAATTAGTAAATTGGGCTCAGTGTTCAAATCCGGGTCCTTCAAACGACCCACTTTTAAAACGGACATACAATTCGGATCGTACCAGATTCCCAATTTCACAAGGCCCATCTTCTTCTTCTGCTTCACTATTTTCCAAAGCGTGCCCCTTTCCATTTCTCTCATTTTTTTTCTCGCTCAATCCTCCGCTGTTCATCCACTCGCTCTCGTTCTTCTTCATTTATTTTCAACGCTCTTACTCAGGTAAATCCTCTTTTCCTTACTCTTTAATTCATATATATTCGTCGATAACTGCCGATTTCTCACATCTAGGGTTCTTTTCTCGATTGTCTGTTAGATTTAAATCTTTGTGGCGAATCGAGTGTTAGTCTTGATTTTTTTATGATTTAGATTCTTCATTTTTTGGTTTTTTTTTTTAAATCTGTTTATTGCGTGTGATTTTATGTTTATTGAAGCTTGTGTTTAATTTAGGGTTTATGTTGGAAAAATTTGGGTCTTTAGTGGGAGTTTTGCTAAAGATCTAGACTTGAGATCTAGACTTGAGATGATTATAAAGATCTAGACTTGCCGCCACAATGATACGAATTAGAAGCTATTGTTTTTCTGCGGTGCTGGTCAATTGTAATAGGATTTGAGTTTCGCCGTGGTTTTGGCTTTCTGATTGCTTCCTTTGTTGTTAGAGTTTGAAATGATATCAATTTCATTCTAATTTGAGAAAATGCCTGCTGACTCCTTAATTTCAGATATTTGAAAAAAAAAATGTTTTCTTTTAAAACAGAATTGGATGCTTGTAAGATTGTTTACATTGTTGAACCCAGAAACAAAATTAGTCTCTGCAGATAGCATTCTAAAAGCCTCTCATTATTTGAAATAACAAGCAGATCACCAGTGCTGTATTTGTTGGTATTCTGTGGATGTTGATGCATTCATTTTGGCTATTTCATATCTAGAAATGCTATTGTATGTTTTGGTTGTTTTCTAATTTCTTTAACTTATACGCAGACCACTCGGGTGCAGACATGATTGATCGTTTTATCGACAATACGATGTTCAGGGATTATAATGAAGCAAATAAGGTGAGGTTGAACGGGAAGTATATTGAGCTTCAATTAACTCGGAGGTTTATGGCAGAGGTGGTTATGTTGCCTAGTCCGCTTGTTAAGCGCATTTTGGAGAAAAATATGGAGGAGAAGATGCGTGTCGGTGAAATTAAAGAAGGTGATTCGGTTACTGTTGACCTTGGTTCTGATGGGAAGATATTGGTTCTTGACAGTAGAAGCGGTACTCTGGCGGAAGAGGCTGAGGAAGGTAGCAGTGGTGCTCCGGCAGAAGAGGGTGAGGAAGGTAGCAGTGGTGCTCCGGCAGAAGAGGCTCCGGCAGAAGAGGCTGAGGAACCAGTTATTGTCTAGATGTGCGCCCCATTGTCCTTTTTCCTGTGGTGTTTATTTATTATTATTTTTTTATCGTTCTGGCTATGTTGAGGTGACTGTGTAGAGCCAGTGCAACGAGAATGATTTAGAGTGCTCTTTAACTTCAGAATCGTTCTGGCTGTGTTGAGCTGACCTCCCAGTTGTTATAGTAGACTAAAACTTTCCTATGTAAACAATTTATTTTTAATAAAAGTTTATTCGTTCGAGAATTTGCATTTGGTTATTAGTCGCCTATAATTTGAAAAATGATTATTCAATATATTAATTGCAAGAGTCCAAATATTGTAATAGTATTTGAGATGTTGTGTTAAGTTAGGATGTTGTACACGTAAGATCATTTTTAAAGTTCGTTTAGAATATTAAGTTTATAAGCTTAATTGGGAACTTATAAACTTAATATTCTAAACGAACTTTAATTGTGTGTGTGAGAGAGAGAGAGAGTGAGAGAGGCGGCGGAAAAAAGCTGAGCCGCCGTGCCAAAACCCTTATTGGTTTTACCGCCAAAAGCCTCGTCAATTTCGTTCTGTCCTTGATTTTGTTTGGTTGATTTACACCTTTGTGTTGATTTATTCCTGTAAATCTATCTTAATTTTTTTTAAGTTTATGATAATTATAGAAAAAAAAAATTATTATTATTTTAAGATAAATAGTATATGATTCTTCAAGAATTATTGTTCTTTTTATGAATAAACATCAACCCAAATCATTTGTTGGTTCCGATTAATTCATGATTCGTATTTTTAGAGAAAATTTCACTTTTTTTAAACTTTAAATTCTAATTATTAATAGGTGTTTGAGACATTACTAAGAAAAATCTCAAAATAAGTTTAAATAATTCCGCTTGAAAGCCATACAACTAATCGAGCTCGAGTCAGAGTTCATCGAACTTTAATTATTATTATTTTTAGTTCAAATAGGATAGTTGCCCAAAAAGCTTAAACCTTTGTATCATAAGTGATGATGATAGCATTGATAATAATGTATATTAATCAATATAGATTATATAACATTGACTCGTCCTTAGTGAACTCATCCAATTTGGCATATCTCATTAAAAAAAATGATTAAATAAGAATGTCAAGAAAAAGAAGACTAAAACTTTAAAAGTGGGTTAGAACTTTAAACATTAAATACTTTAGATAGGAATCATTATGTAGCCATTTCATCTCAATATACACTAACAATTTTCAAAAGTAGGTGGTGTTTACTATAAGCTTATTTAAAAGCAGAAGTTAATAATTGTGAGTTAAGTGAGTATTAAATGTTTATTTCAAAAAATTGGGGACATTTGCAAATATGTTAGAAAATCAACTTAAATAGAAAAAACAAGTCTAGAGATGTTTTTAAAAAAATAGTTTAAAGCAACTTATTTTAGGAGAAACATGAACAAAAGCTAGTTTTACAAACACCGAGAAACAGATTATGAGCAAAAAAAACCTCAAAAGCTGCTTCTAAAAATTTTAGCAAACAAGTGAATGAAACAAATATTTAGTACGTGAAGAAATAATTAAAGGGCTAAACCTATTTAAGCCCAATTAGTAAATTGGGCTCAGTGTTCAAATCCGGGTCCTTCAAACGACCCACTTTTAAAACGGACATAGATATTCGCCGAAGCACCACGATTCTGAAACGCAACAAAGATAAGGCAGAGAAATCGTTTGAAACGTCTACAGATGTCTACAGTTCTCTCATTTTTTTTCTCGCTCAATCCTCCGCTGTTCATCCACTCGCTCTCGTTCTTCTTCATTTATTTTCAACGCTCTTACTCAGGTAAATCCTCTTTTCCTTACTCTTTAATTCATATATATTCGTCGATAACTGCCGATTTCTCACATCTAGGGTTCTTTTCTCGATTGTCTGTTAGATTTAAATCTTTGTGGAGAATCGAGTGTTAGTCTTGATTTTTTTATGATTTAGATTCTTCATTTTTTGGTTTTTTTTTTAAATCTGTTTATTGCGTGTGATTTTATGTTTATTGAAGCTTGTGTTTAATTTAGGGTTTATGTTGGAAAAATTTGGGTCTTTAGTGGGAGTTTTGCTAAAGATCTAGACTTGAGATCTAGACTTGAGATGATTATAAAGATCTAGACTTGCCGCCACAATGATACGAATTAGAAGCTATTGTTTTTCTGCGGTGCTGGTCAATTGTAATAGGATTTGAGTTTCGCCGTGGTTTTGGCTTTCTGATTGCTTCCTTTGTTGTTAGAGTTTGAAATGATATCAGTTTCATTCTAATTTGAGAAAATGCCTGCTGACTCCTTAATTTCAGATATTTGAAAAAAAAAATGTTTTCTTTTAAAACAGAATTGGATGCTTGTAAGATTGTTTACATTGTTGAACCCAGAAACAAAATTAGTCTCTGCAGATAGCATTCTAAAAGCCTCTCATTATTTGAAATAACAAGCAGATCACCAGTGCTGTATTTGTTGGTATTCTGTGGATGTTGATGCATTCATTTTGGCTATTTCATATCTAGAAATGCTATTGTATGTTTTGGTTGTTTTCTAATTTCTTTAACTTATACGCAGACCACTCGGGTGCAGACATGATTGATCGTTTTATCGACAATACGATGTTCAGGGATTATAATGAAGCACATAAGGTGAGGTTGAACGGGAAGTATATTGAGCTTCAATTAACTCGGAGGTTTATGGCAGAGGTGGTTACGTTGCCTAGTCCGCTTGTTAAGCGCATTTTGGAGAAAAATATGGAGGAGAAGATGCGTGTCGGTGAAATTAAAGAAGGTGATTCGGTTACTGTTGACCTTGGTTCTGATGGGAAGATATTGGTTCTTGACAGTAGAAGCGGTACTCTGGCGGAAGAGGCTGAGGAAGGTAGCAGTGGTGCTCCGGCAGAAGAGGCTCCGGCAGAAGAGGCTGAGGAACCAGTTATTGTCTAGATGTGCGCCCCATTGTCCTTTTTCCTGTGGTGTTTATTTATTATTATTTTTTTATCGTTCTGGCTATGTTGAGGTGACTGTGTAGAGCCAGTGCAACGAGAATGATTTAGAGTGCTCTTTAACTTCAGAATCGTTCTGGCTGTGTTGAGCTGACCTCCCAGTTGTTATAGTAGACTAAAACTTTCCTATGTAAACAATTTATTTTTAATAAAAGTTTATTCGTTCGAGAATTTGCATTTGGTTATTAGTCGCCTATAATTTGAAAAATGATTATTCAATATATTAATTGCAAGAGTCCAAATATTGTAATAGTATTTGAGATGTTGTGTTAAGTTAGGATGTTGTACACGTAAGATATGTTGCCAAGAATGACCATTTGCAGAAAAAAAAATTAAATTATTAACTAGAACACTTGGAGTAGATGTTTTACAGTGACAATCTTCTAATGTTACCATAGTAACAGAATATATTTTGGCATGAGGATTCACTGCATAATGTTATCATTTCAAGTCAACTCCTATGGTATTTTTCTAGTTTTTGTCAGAAGTAATATTCTAAATCGTAGTTTTCTGTGTGGAATTTTAACACAGGTTGGTATGGCTGCTACTCTAGCTGGGGTGTGCCAGGTACCCCTCACGGCAGTTTTGCTTCTTTTTGAACTAACACAAGATTATCGAATTGTTCTGCCACTTTTGGGAGCTGTGGGACTCTCTTCATGGGTTACATCTGACAAGACAAGGAAAAGAGTCACTGATAAAACCAGCAAAACGAAAGACCAAAACGTTGTAGCAACTTCACCAGAGAGATATTCTTACGACTCCACTGTTAACTCTACTTCTCCTAATGTCAAGGAACCAAACGGTAGTAGCCTTTGTGAACTCGAGAGTTCACTCTGTCTGAATGATGAATCTGAAGATGAAGCGGATGACCTGGCAAATGAAATCTTGGTCCCTTCTCTGTCATTGAAGAACATCTGAATACGATTCTTCCAAATTGTTTTGATGCAATTGGTCTGATGCTCATGATTCGCATTATATACCAGTACCAGGTGAGATGCTGCAGCAATATGCCAATATCTGATCGTGTTTAAATTTTGTTTCAAAAATCATTCCAGCTTCATAATGTGAACCGAGTCCATCTCTTCCATCCTTCCACAAATTTACTGTCATTTGTGGATTCAAGTTTCATGTTTTCATATTTAATCTTGTGTGATTTTTTTTCCGCTGTTGAAGCTTATAGAAGTTTTTATTGAATATGACAAACACGTTGAATCTATTTCGTTGAGTATTTCTTTACCATCCTATGATGAGAACAGTCACATGTAATGAGGGATCAAGGCAGTATATCAATCCTTAGATTCTTGTGAACAAGCCAAATTGTTTTCTCCAATTAAAGTTTCTTGGAGTTGTTTGCCATCATTATGGTGCGCAGTAGTTTCTATTAAATAGAGGGGTAGACTGGGTTCAGCAGACTAAATTGTTACCCGAACTCCTAAGCATTTGTTTTGTAGCTGTAGCAGTTCTCCAACTCGGGCATTTGTTTTTCCTTCAGTAAACTTTGTTGCAAGTTTGTTTTCATTAAGATTTTTAATTTGCAACCAGTAAGTGTTGGGACATGAATGACATCTGCTTATTGTTTTCAATTTCTATGATTAAAATCTCGAGTAAATTTGTACTATCCACATTTGTTTTCTCTTTTCATAGCTTTTGATTTTCGTATTTTTTCCTTCTTAGCTTATAATGTCTCGGAGGCGAATACCGTGTCTGGATTCATACTTGGATAAGGTATGTATAATCAACTTCACTAAGTGAATATTTGCTTCTGAGACCTACTTTGTGGTTCCACCTGTGATTTCTCCCTACATGTGCCCTGAAATGGTTTATATGATCTAAAATTTGCAATCTGGAGAAACAAACTCTTCCGTTGATAGAAATCACTGAAACAGTTTCATATGAATCTGAGCAGGTCAACATTTCGTTATGGCCCCGATTTAAGATGGTGTTTGACATGCACCTCAACAGCCTTAGAAATGCCAATGTCCGCACTTTGTGGGAAGATGATGTGCATCCTCATTATGTAATGAGGCGTTATGCTGAATTTACAGCTTCCCTAATCCAGCTTAATGTTGATTATGGAGATGGTCAGGTTAGAAACAGACCGTAGTTTCTCAGTCCTTGCTAAGTTTTGATTATTAGACTTTCAACATCACTTATTTTTATTTTTATTTTTTTGGGTGTAAAATTGGCTACATTCTCAGCTTGAACTCAACTTGGAGAGATTGCGAATGGCTGTAGATGATTTACTTGTCAAGCTTGCCAAACTATTCCAGAAACCGAAGTTGCAAACTGTATTTTTGATAAATAACTGCGACATGACAATTGCTGTATTGAAGGTAAACTATGATATTCAAGTCAAATATGATCCAAAAGGTGAAATCCAAGAATTTATTAGCTCCTTGAATTTAGAAGCATGTTAGACGTTCTCGTAAAATGTATTCACAAATATCTCATTACACCTACAAATGTTTGAAACCCAATTGTTTAAAAAACCACAAGAGAACCCCCCATCCCACATCTACACACACAACTACACACACAAAAGGGAAAAGGAAATCTTGGCGGTTCCACTTCTTATATGTTAGATACAATGTATACACATGCACATGCGATACAATTGGTACATAACTTAATTATTTGTTCTGTAATAATTTGCATCCTATATGTTAAATGTTGGTTGTAAATATTTTCATGTATGTCTCAGGAAGCTGGTCCTGAGGGGAGCAAAATTCAAATGCACTTTGAAGAGTTGCTGAAAAGCAATACATCCATTTATGTGGTAATAATTGTGATACGATAGATTGTTAGGCCTACTTGAGCTGCAAGAACTCATGCTTGTGCAATTGGAATAGCTGGGCAGTTCTATTTCATTGAATCTACTTCAAGTATTCTTTATTTTCTGAGAACAAACCTTTCCGATTAGACGAGCATGTCTTAAGTACCTTATTGGAAGAGAAATATGTGCTTGGAAGGCCAGTTTGTTTCTTTTTCTGACTACACCAAAAGATTTTAAAACCTACCTTTTCTGTTTGAACAACAAATGGATAACGTCCAACCATTGTTCGATCCTTTCATTTCATGATGGTTATAATGTAGGCAATTCAAGCTCTCTTTGCTTGGATAGTATTTATCTGATTGATATTAAGCTTTAACCTACATGACATCATGTGCGTTTGTCCGAACTCATTATTTTCAAATGCAGGAGGAACTACTCATGGAACACTTCAGTGACTTGATCAAATTTGTAAAGATTAGAGCATGTAAGTGTGTACGTACATATATGTTGAAAATAATATCAGAGTCATGTATGTGTGATGTGCGTATATACATACATATTGGTTGATGTTTATATATGTGTTGGTGAAAAACAGCGGAGGACCCAAGTTCCGGTTCGTCAGAGCGGCCGATTAGTGTGAGTGAAGTAGAGCCAATAATAAAGGACTTTGGCAGCAGATGGAAAGCTGCAATAGAGCTGATGCACAATGATGTGATAACTTCATTTAGTAACTTCTTATGTGGTATGGAAATTCTGAGAGCAGCTTTGACACAGCTATTGCTTTACTACACGAGGCTTTCGGATTGCATGAAGAGAATCGCAGGTGGGTCTAGCTTGAACAAGGACTTGGTTTCCATATCTTCCATAATGTACGAGATTAGAAAATACTCCAGGACCTTTTGATTTCATACTTTGTTTCTCATTGTCTTTTATGTAAAATTTTCTGGCTTTGCTTGTAACATACATGTTCCTGATTTTTTTATTGAAGAGAGACAGCTTTTTGTTGTGCGTAACCAATTTTTTTTAGCTTAAAATTTCTGACCAGGCCATTTCATTGATTCTATACGGAGTGGTGATTGATGTTGGTGGTGATGGGTAGTGAATTTTAATAAATTGAGTTGGGTAGTTGATTATATTGGCAAAATATGGTAGCGTGTAGAGTAACTGTGACAATTTTTAATTTGGACAATATCTACTCCAATTATTATTATGATGAATATGTAGAAAACTTGCTGCGCTTCTCTTTACTGACAAACTATTGAACTACGAAGTCCAAACATAAGATTAAACTGAACCAGCTAACAACGTACAACAGTAATAATTAATTAATACTAATCCCAAACTAGGAAAGCAATTTGAAAGAGAAACGAGAACTAAACTAGTTTTACATTCAGAGGCCAGGCCGCGCCAAAATTGGAGCAAATATAATTCACTCGCTAATCGAACATATTCTTCATCTGTTTCAACAACACTAGTCTAAAAATATCCATCCATAGGGCAAACGAACATCATCAAATACATTGCCAAGAGAAGAACAAAGAAAAAGAAAGTAAATCAAGAGCTTCCTTCTGGCTCATCGGTTCCTAGAACTGTCAGAGTAGGAGTCTCTGGTTCCTCCACACCAACACCATTCACCTTGCTGTTACAAGAACCAACAAAAATCAGGAGAAGAAAAAGAACCGATTCTGATACTTATAGAAAACACGAACCAATGCAAGATTATTCTTTTAAATGTAATAATGCTCCATCATCACTACACAAGGAAAACATAATTAAGGTTTTCAGACAACCTAATAACCATCCATGTATATAAAAAAGTCAATGGCGACAAGACCAAGTTTTTCTTTGAACGTGCATTACAATGTAAGCCTAACATGGATTCTTTTGGGAATAATCTACCTAAGTTCTCTTACAGCTTCAAACATAATGCAATACACATACAGAGAACTGTACTTTTCTTTTTTCATTTAGGTCTAACAAACATTTAGCAGTAGATCATTACAAGATATGACAATTCTTGGACACACGACAGGGGATATCACATAATCAAACCGATTCGAGTACCTAAATTATCATATAAAAAGAAGGGAAGTGAAATAATTGCATAAGAATGGTTGAACTTAAGTACTGAAAAATGGATCCTGTCAGAAATAAACCAGATAAAACAATATGCTTATAACGAGTTGTGTAATGTTTCAGAAGAAAAAAAACAACATAATACAGGTAAATATTAAAGATTCATAGCACGGAACGATTTAAAAGGCCAACCGACCCCAATTTGCACTAATAAATCATAAACCTCCTGTAAGAGGAGTCATAGAGAAGAAACTTACTAGCATGTCTTCTTATTGTGGCCCAGGCCTTTGCACTTGCTACATTGGAGCTGGCGCTTAATGACATCTACAGATTCAGCTGATTTCAACTTTGGTCTGCCAGGCGGACGTTTAGTAGGAGGAGGAGTTACAATAGTTGCTTCATGCAGTTCACTTCTCTCTGGTTTCTCCACATTTGGTATGGGGTTGATTGACTCTGTATAAGTCAAGCGATAACTCTCAGTCGTGAAGAATCTAGAGCAAAAATCATAAAGGCTCCTTCCAAGACAATTGATAACAGCAATAGCATGGCAGCAAGGCAACCCCATTAGCTGCCACCCTTTGCAACTGCAGTCCCAGTGATCAATGTCCACTATGTCCACCGACTCACCACCGCGGACCTCAAACGTACTGCCATGCACGAGCGCCACTTGAAATGATCTCGCTTTTGACATCTCAAGCTGAAGTTTATCCTCCATAAAAGGTGTCAACCTTGTAACCCATTGACTGGATTCAAGTCTTCGCCTATAGATCAATTCCATAATCTTGCCACGTAACACATCAACCATCTGAGTTATAGGCAACTCATCCACCTCAGACACCCAACTGTAGAACTGTTGGCCAAAGTTGGATGTCATATGGTTATATCTAGCCCCACCAAAAATTGCATTGGCCCAGTGCTCTGGTTGACTTCTAATGACCCAATCATAAGCCTCGATGGATATAGCCTTAATGTTTTCAGCACACCTTTCGAACACCTCGACTTTGGGTGCATAGGCAGCAGCATAGAAATCTTGAACCATGAGGCGCCTCGCATCATGAGAAAATTGTCCTTTCAGATCCTTATTTAGCTTCTCCGCAAGGGATCGTAAACAGTAACCGTGATTGCACTCGTTGCCAAATATATCAATCAAGGACTGCTTTATGCCTTTCTGGAAATCAGAAACAAAAGTTATGTGCTCCGAAGTTGAGAGAGCAGATTTCAGTTCTGACAGAAACCACTTCCAGTTATCCTCGGTTTCTTCATCCACCACAGCGAAAGCTACAGGGAAAAAATCATCATTCCCATCTGCAGCTGTTGCGGCTAATAAGGTTCCTTGATATTTCGAGTAAAGAAGAGTGCTATCGAGAAAAAGAAGAGGACGGCACTGATGAAAACCAGATATTGAGGCATGAAATGACACGAAAAATCGGCGAAAGCTCGAATCTTCCTTAGTGCTGAATGTAGCGAGACTTCCCGGATTAGTCTCCATTATATTCTGGCAAAAAAATGGTAACTGAGAGTATGCCTCTTTATAAGAACCCTGAAGCTGTTCTCTTGCTATCTCCTTGGCACGCCATGCCTGCGTATAGTTCAACTGAATACCATACTCGCGCTTGATATCACTTGCAATATCCTTTGGTTTATAATTCGGAGAAACTTTCAGTTTCTCCTTTATGATATTGCCTATCCATCCCCTAGTTGCTCTATAACCAGCTTTTACGGTGGCCCCTTCACAAGTATGCTCGGGATTCATCTTTTTTATACATATTAACTGAGTTGTGGCCAACCTAGATGCATATATGCGCCATGGACAACCTTCTGTTTTGCACTTGGCAGTCACACGATGGCTGTCATTTTTCTTATACTTGTAGGTGAAGCCGTGGGCAATGGAGTATTTATGCAGAGCTTCACGAAATTCGGCAAAAGTATTGAATCTTTGGTCCACACCTGTGATGATATTCTCCTACTGAGTTGCTGCTCTCCGATGCCTATCTTCATTGCTAATAGGCTCATCTAAAACAATTGCATCATCAGTTTGCATAACATCCACAGGGACATCTGAAGGAACTGCTGCCCCAGACACAGTTGTCCTGCTTGACCTGTATAGTTAAACCAATCATAGTATTAGATTTTTTTTTGAAGGGAAGTGCATTCACTTAAATTTCACAAACAAAAACATGCTTGATTTCATAATAATAAGGCGGAAGACAAGCTTTACTATGAAACAACTTGTTTCAGTTTCCTTTAAATGAATCAACATAAATACTATAGAAGGATAACTTAGGCGGGTGAGTGGTTTGAATTTTCCACAAAACGAGACTGCATTGAAAAAATTCACAACATGCATCATAAAATTCAGAAGCATGACTGCAGTAAACTGAAGAATATACGAAAGATTTGCGCCATTAGCAGTCAGTCAGCCTTAACTACTCACACACAACTCCATTTCAGTTGAAACAGTTATACTTGTTCATTTTACTTGTCTAAAAAACAATTGTAACATCTGAGAATTGAAACAATAAAAGCTGAAGAAGTTGAGTAATGGCAAATACCTACTGGCAGGCATGTTGGACACATTTGGAGCAGCGGCTTCTTCTTCTTCAGCAATAATAAAGACCTCAACTTGATCAGTGTCCTTGAAGAAGTTAACCATACGCTTGAGATCTTTATCCTTAGATATGGTAATCAAGGTCTTTCTGTTTCCAGGGAGAAAATACTTAATCGACAATGCACGAGCACTAAATTGAAAAGTTTCAGCAAGTTCATGCTTGAAATCTTTCAATTGGGTCTGATGATCAAGGTCGAGAGCATAAGCTTCCCCACCGGTGTAAAATAAAGACCCGTCATCTTTATTCGCCACAAATTCTCCTCCAGATTGGCATATAGCTATGATTTTCTTTGTGGCCATCGCCAGAATGCCAAAAAGGTTTCCTTTTTATTTAAAAAAAAAAGTTAGTTGCGAAGCCCAGATAATATCAGACTCAAGAGAAGAAGAAGAAGAAGAAGAAGAAGAAGAAGAAGGAAATCGAATCAAATACACAGGCGAAGCAGCAACAGTTTATAAGAGGGCAAATTATATCAAAAAAAAATTAACCAAAGGGCAAATCTTAACAAGCAAAATGAAACAAAGACATGCACAAGATGAGAGAGGCGAGAAAAAACCAATCCCTAAGAATACAGCATTTTTCAAAAGTCTAACATAGGTCAGAGAGAGATAAACAATTAATTGAAAATTCCAAAACCCATAAGAAGAAGAAGAGTCTTAACAAAATCACAAATAGTGCGAATTATGGGGCGATTCTGAAAAGAGTAGATAGATAATTCAGAGCAAGGGTTTACCTGTGGTGAAATTAAGGTTGAGCAATGTGTGTGTGTGTGCGCCAAGGCGGGGCAAAAGGGTTAACGGGGGAGAGAGAGAAAGAGAAAGGGCCTCGGAGTCTGGTCCAGTGAAGTGGTGTACGTGTATGACTAATCTCAACCGTTGCTTCAGAAAAACATAATTAAGGAGTTTGCTATTCTATCCATCCAATATCTTATTCTAAAAAGAAATAAAATTAAAACCATATATATTAAGGAGGTTACAATTCTTTGAATTCAAATCAAAAGAATTCTCAAATTCTCTCTAGGTTTAAATATCTTGATTAATTCTTTTTTCAAATAAAATCGTAACAAAGCTACTGAAAAATTATAATTTCGATCCGAGTATAAATCAGGGTTCTAAAAAGCGTGAGTCGGATTGGAGGTGGTCGAAAGACGCTCGGTCCCTACTCGGTGATGGAAAGGAGACAGGCGGGCACCGTAACCGGTTGCCATTGCAGGACCCGATGCGCTACATGTTTAACTTTACTTTTTAATATATAATTTGACTTCACAACCCAAATCGTAATTCGGTTTAGAAAACTCAGTTGCATTTTCGATTCTGGTTTAATTGCCTAGATGTTTTATTTTTACATTTTAATACTTACGTAATTTCGATTTATTTTGTTGTAGAATAAGAAATACTTATGTAGACGTTTGAATTAGTGGCATAGAAACTGCTTGGACTTCAATATACTTTTGATTACTCAGACGTAAAATGTAAAGTATGTATATGCGTATTTGAGAGATATTGGGAAAACGATTGAAGAGAGTGAAGTTAGATCCGAATAATTCAAAGTTTGAGACAAAGAATCCATTGTCCATAATGAATTGTGAGAAAATTTGTATTGCGATTATATGTTAGAGCATCTCCAATGTTAAACTCAATCTTTAACATTTAGAGTGCTGGGAAATTGAGATTTTTGTTAAAAATCATATCCAATGCAAATCTTAAGAAAAAACTCCAAATGATGTGGCAATGATGTGACACTTGTGATTTTAGAGATTCTTAAGAGCATCTCCAATGTTAAACTCAAAAAAAACTCTAAAAATCCTATGTGTCAAGTACCAAATGTGAATCTTAAAATCTTCTCTATCCTATTTGGCAAGATTGAGACTCTCTACTGCAAAGTCTTCTCAAATGCAACACTCAAAACTCAAAATATTTTCTTAGGTGTAATTTGTTATTGGGTTTTAAAATTAAAACTAAAACTATTAATATTTTAAAAAAAAAACTTATCCTACAAAAAGATAAAAACTTTACATTACTGCTTTAATACTAGTGGGATTTATTCAGATTTGTTTTAAAAGGGAGAAAATGAAGTAGCTAGAGTTTTTTATGAACATTCATTAGTTAAATATTTTAATCGACAAATTTTAAATCAATATTTTTCCTGTTCATCAAATTCTGAACATATATTCTATACAAACTAGCAATTTCTATAGATCACGCGTATGGTTCATTTGTAATAGGTCAGATGAATCACATGAATTCAATTCATTAAATTTTGAATAAAATTATTGTTAAAAAGAATTAAGTAAATAATTAGGGTTTTTTTTACCTAAAAGTTGAATTTTCAGAGAAACATATAATTTAAATAAAATAGTGTAGAAGGTGGAATAAGATTAGAACTATGGTGAAATATATTTATGGTTAATCTAAAAAATATATATATACATATATACATATATATATCAAATATATATATACATATCAAAAATACAGATATATATATAGATATATATTTACGGTTTGAAGATATTTTAATTTTCTTAATTTTTTAATGGAAAGTAAAAGAAAAATTGTATTAAATGATGAGTTGGCACTTTAGAGATCCTCAAGATGACACTCCAATCTCAGAGTGTCATCTAAAGAATCATTAAAATTATAGGTGCCACGTCATTTGGAGATTTTTATTAAGATTTGCATTGGAGATGATTTTTCAATAAAAATCTCAAAAGATCCTATGTGGCACTCTAAGTATTAGAGATTGAGCTTAGCATTGGAGATGCTCTAAGATGACAGTATGACTCTCTGCAATTGGAGTATCATCTTGAGGATCTCTAAAGTGTCGACTCATCATTTAATTCAATTTTTCTTTTACTTTCTATTAAAGAAAGTAAGAAAATCAAATTATCTTCAAACTGTAAATGGAATTCACCATAGCTACTTCTTTTTCTCCCTTCTGAAATAAATTTGAATATATTGTACTAGCATTAAAGCGAGAATGAAAAGTTCTTCTCTTTTTGGCGGGATAAGTTTTTTTTTTAATATATTAATTATTTTAAGGGCAAATTACCAAAACCCCCCTGAGGTAAGGCTGAATAACGAAAATCCCCCCATGTTTGCGTAATTACGAAAACCCCCTGATGTATGTTGCCGTCTTACAAATTCCCCCTACGTGTTACTTCTGACGGAATCTTTTTGATTCCATGGAATATTCCTTTGAAAATGCCATTCTTGCCCTTGAGGGGTAATTGTAAGTATATTAAAAAGTATAATGTATTTCTTCATTTTATAATTATTAAAAAGATAAAATATATATAAAATAATTAAAGATATCTCGTAACATTAAAAGTTTTTATTTATTTTTATTTTTTTATATATTTTTTTATTCAATAAAATCGAGGTTACGTATTTTTGAAATATTCTCTTATTTCTTATTTTATGCTACAAATATTTTCAATAGTTTTTTAATATTATGGTAATTGTCAATATATTATTATATTTTTTAGTCAAAAAAGTAACACCGTAGGGGGGCTGTGTAATACTTAAAAAAACGTATTTACTTTAATTTAAACCTATAATGTATTTCTTCATTTTATAATTATTAAAAATATACAAAAAAAAATATGTAAAATAATTAAACATATATTGTAACATAAAAGGTTTTTTTTACTTGTTTTCTATTTTTTATATATTTTTATATTTTTTTTAATATTTGTTTAATTGTATTTCAATTTTAAACAAACAAAATTTAAAAAGTATATATTAATATAAATAAATCATAATATTCCCTTGATTGTTTTTCAAATAACAAAAGGGTACAACGGACAAACATTTTCTGTCAATTTAAACGGTCTAGCACTGGTCATAGGGGGATTTTCGTAATCATGCAAACATGAGGGGGATTTTCGTAATTAGGCCTTACCTCAGGGGGGTTTTCGTAATTTGCCCTTTTTCTTTTATTTTTTTACATATTTAACAGAAGGGTATAATAGACTTCTGTTAAAAAAAATCGGTCAACTGTTAGTCAAGGGGGTTTTTCGTAATTACGAGAACATGGGGGGGGATTTTCGTTATTCAGCCTTACCTCAGGGGGTTTTTGGTAATTTGCCCTTATTTTAATTTTAATTTTTAAAATCCAATGAAAATTACACCTAAGAAAATATTTTGAGTCTTGAATGTTGCATTGGAGAGAGGAGACGTTGCAATAGAGAATCTCAATCTTGCAAATAGGATAGAGAAAATTTTGAGATTCACGTTTAGTACTTAACAAATAGGATTTTTAGAGTATTTTTTAAGTTTAGCAAAAATATACACAAGTTATTTACTAATCATGATCAAATACAGTATATTAATTCCATTAAAAAACTAAATTAGTACGGACTCAATAGTAGATGAGTTGTATTCAGTGAATGATCGTATATGACAACTTAAAGTGACTGCAATTTTTTTTTTTTTTTTTTCTATTTTTTATCGGATGCTTAGCCCCTTACCTAAATATCTCACGGTTCACCCATGACAACACATGATAGGGTATATATGTACACCTAACCGTGTCATGGAATAACACTGTCCGCACGTGCCGAGCAACGTTAGGGTTATTTGGCACCTACAACAAAACTCATATAATAAAAATTATACATATAAAAATATTACAAAAAATACAATTAATCTAAAAAATATAAGTGCACTTCATCGTTCCAGTAAATATAAAAGCTACTTTGACTAAAAATAAGTTATATTACCAACAATACAAAAACGGTTTAGAAAGAAGTGAACCAATTGAATTCATCACAACTTTCAAAAAGCGGTTTTTGTGTTTTTGTGTCATGTCTCGAAAAATCGGACTTCAATCATGAACTCTCTTTGTTTGGGGGAATACCAAGCTACAGCTTTTGCAGAACCAAGAACTTGTAATGCATATTCAGCAGCAAAAACAGGATCATTAATCACATTGTTATACCACCACTTTTTCTCCTTGCCCTTCTTCGTCAGATCAACACTCACTCCACAATCAATTCTAAAGCTGAAAGGTCCACATATCTGCATTTTTACCCAAAAAAATCAAAATGTCAGAGGTAAGTGATTATCTCGAATTTAGAAACTTGAAAGATAACAGAGTGTTGAAGACGCAGAATTGCAATTAGTATAAAAGGTCCAACATCCCTCTCTACTTATCTCCTTTGTTGAAGAAATCACAGGAATCCTGTCTGCTCTTTTACCGAGAGCAAATAACATGCATAAGCATATTGTATTCCTAACCTCCCATATGCTACGATTTTCACTATTTTTTTTTCTTTTTTTTTTTTTTATTTTAAAGATAAGGTAGGTTTATTTGTCCTTATTTTAGTACTATGGTTCAAAACACAGAGCTGAATTGATATCTAGCAGTGACTAAAGTTAAATAAAGAATACCTGCTGCTGAAATGAAAGGCTGGCAGAAGGAAAAATAGCCTGGAGTGCTTCAACACTTGGTGCTTGACGAGAATTGTAGAGGTCGACAGCTAATCGAGAGGCACCACCTACAAATTTTGACACGGAAGGAACATCTATCCGTGCATTAAAACGGGTAAGGTCCAAAAAGAGCTTCTGGAAATTTCCATGCTGAGCGGAGACGGATGCAGATGCAAAAAGATCAGCTGAAATGGCAGAATTTGCTCCTTTGGCTCCAAATCCAAACCATCCATCTTCTGCCTGGGCTCTAACGGAATTATCTCCAAGAGATGCAGTTATTACAGTACCTAAAGTACAAAATAAATACAAAATTGATCTTAGAAAGATCAATGTACTAAGCATGATAAAGTAGATGTCAAACAAAATATGCAATTCAGTGATTGGATTGGTTCTAGATAAGCACCCAAAGTGCATAAGCATGGATTCCTCATATCCTAAATGTCGTAGCAAAGCATAGACATGTGCATATAAAAAATCCATGCCTTGGTATTAGCTAGCTAACATGGAATGGAAAAGCAAACAAATAATCCCAAAGTAGATAACTTGATTTCAGTGTTCTCCTTCAACCAAAAAGCATTCAGAACTACATGTATGTGTAAGGAGTGATTTACCTATGATTGCGGATGCTGAAATATGAGGATTGGAGAGAAATATATCATAGGGTTGCGCCAATTTCGTCTTTGGTGCTTCGCTCCTCCAAATGTTCAAGTTCTTTTTCAAGGAAACGGCACATTTGGCACACAAACCAGGAAGCAAACTAGGAGGTACATGTACAGGTACAGGTACAGGGCTCGTATCATATATTTTGGGGGAACCTGAAGTATGGTTGATGCAGAAATGACAGCTCATCCCAGAATCAGAAGAAGGTAGTGATGCAAAATCCATCCCCAACGTCAACGGAACATCCCAGTAATTCCCTAGACGGTCGACAAATAGTGTCGGCGAAGCTGCCTCAATAGTGAGATTGTGATTGGGGAACTGCAACAACAACAAATATATATATATATATATATATATATATATATATATATATATATATATATATATATATATAATAAATAATAATAAGAGATGAAATGGACAAATCAAAACAAATTTATGCAAGAACAGGTCTTGCCTTGTGATGAAGTACTGCCTTCTTCCTAGGAATGTTGTTGTGATCGCCGCCGTGTTTTTCGAGGCTGAGTAGCAATGCATCTTCAGGTGTTAACAACCATTCCGAGCAGAAATTGAGAGCATAAAAGCTTGGGTTCAAAAGATGCGTCCAAACAGTCTGAAAAAAAGAAGCATCGGAGTCCTCTTGTTGTTGCCTTTGCGTTTGCCTTGTGGGGAGAGAAGATGTGAACTTGAGGACATCGAACCGTCCAAGCAATGTTGAAAACCTGCATCTCTTTTCAGAAATTATTCTTCGTCAATTAATTTTCATTTCCCCAAAATATATGTAAGAAAAAAGTTCAATTGATGAGAGGGGTTGGGGGCATACCAGGTGTCGCGAGCAAAGGGAGGGAGAGGGAGAGAGATTAGGCGGTGGAAAGAGAGGCCATTGGAATCGGAGAAAGAGGGGACAAAGGGCATGGCCATGAATCGCTGAAAGAAATCAATCTGCTTTGGACGAGAAAGCCTTGTACCACGGCTCAACCCTAAAGGAATGGGATCCTCCGCCGCTGGACGAGCCACTCCGTCCACTGTCACCGGCGTCGATAGGTCAACCTCCCAGAAACCGCCGTCCATCGCCCATCTCAGCTTCTTCATTATTTCTTTCTGTCTGCTTCTGAGTTCTGTGAGTGGTACAAGGGAACAAGACTGTGCGAGTGTGTGAGTGTAAGTGTAGAAATAAGAATAAGTTGTTAAGCTGCCACCAAATAAATTAAAGGCCGCGGCGCGCTATTCGCAATACTTGTTTCACTAAGTGCAAGACCAAATTTATGCAAGACCACAGAAAAGTTCTATATTTTATAAGTTCAAGACCATGAATGACAAATATGCCCATTAGTTAAAAAAAAAAATTTCAATATTTTTCAAAAAAAAAAGAAAAAGAAAAGAAAAGAAAAAGGCATCTTAAGAAAACGACGCAGCCCCCGTCGCCCAACCAAGCCCCGTTGCCGCTCCAAGCACCGTTGCCGCCGATCAAGCACCGCCGTCGCTCACCCTACAACCATGAGCGACCTAAACCTGGAAAACCTTCTTGAAAAGGGTTTAAGTTTGCAATAAATAAATAAGTAGCATAATAAGAAAATGGGTAGAACGTGAAATTCGATAATTTTGGGTCAGATTTGATCTTTTTTAAGAACATTTACGATCTACAAAACTCGACCTGCAAATGTCGATTTTGGGTTTGTTTTCTCGACATTTGCAGGTCGTCTAATGTCACTTTTTTCGACATCAAGAAGATGTCGATTTATGTGTACCTAATCCGACATCTAAGCGTCGAATTTTATGCATTCCAATCGACGCTAAGGTGTCGAAATAAGCCTTTTTCCCCTTTCTTTGTAGTTAAAGTGCTAAGTCGACATCTTAATGCCGAGTTTGTTTTACAGATATCGACACCTTAATGTCGAGTTTTGGGGGCAAAATTCGACTTGTAAATGTCGAATCGCGTCTGCGCAATTTCTTTTTGAAAAATGATAGTCTAGCTAATAAAACACATAAATGCATATCTCCTTGGGTTCTTCCACCGTAGAATCTTTCATTTTGATGTCTTTCGACTCCATACTTGCCCTCTTTGCAAGGTTTGTTAAGGTTCGAGAATGTTGAAGTTTTGTGCGTTTATGGAAGAGGAAGGAGAAATGTCTTTGTGGTTGTTGGAAGATGGAGAAGATGAGAATTTGGTCTTGTGGTTTTGTGGTTAAATTTTTTTGGTTTCTTAGTTTTTGATATTGCATCAATTTACTATTTTTTTAACAAGTAAGGGTATTATTGTATTTGTACATTGAAAATTTTAATTTGGTCTTGCACTTAGTAGAATCAGTATTGCAAATAGCCGCGGCCTAAATTAAATTAATTAAATTCGAATTGAGTCTAAACTATAATAATAATACATATTTTCAGATTGAATGATTTGAATTTTAGCAAGGATTTCAAATAAATAATCTCAGATCATTTAGAAAAACATATATATATATATATACATATATGTTTATGGTTATGTTAGATGAAAATTTACTGTGAAAATTGCGTTAAATCACCTAATTATTCACTGGAACGAAAACAAACTTGTGCTTTGGGCATCATACATAATAAACAAATAGACTTTTCGACACTGAATCTAAAATAGATAGATAGATAGATACAAGAATATATATGTATTCCACAACAACACAAAGAAAGAAACCGCATGCATCATCACATGTCATCTCTAAATCTCTAATGTACAACACATCCTTATTGCAGCAGAGATTCATTGCTCTTCATCAGCATCTTGGTGGTTGGGGTGGTGGAACGAGTACGAGTCGTGGGCAAGAGTCTGCACCAATTACAAATTAATTACTCCAATCATCAATCATATTATTTACTGGCAAAAAAGATTTTATAATTAAGTAGAGTAGAGTAAAATATTTGATCATTACCTGTTCTTGGGCTCGGAAATACATGAATGGTGTATAGTGCAAGAAATTAGAAACCCTTGACGTATATATATCAGCGTACCTGCATGCATTTAGTTTCTTTCACAAGTCAATTATCTTTCTTTCTTTTTATGCACCTAGTAAGTAGTACCACTACTACATGCATTACTTAGTCGAAACACATACTTCTCAATTTGCCTCATTAAGTGGCTTTTGTCCCACAGACCTGCTCGTGAAAGAAACCCCCACCTGAAACAAACTACAATTTTTTATAACAGACAACACATGATGCATGTACGCACATGTGCAAGATACACATGTTCACTACCTTTTGTTAAAGAGCTCCCCATCCGATTCCATCATCGGACCAATTTTATTGTCTAACCGTTGCATCACTATCAGTAGTTTCTGAATGCTTTCATTAAGTTCCTTGTCATCCATATGAGTTGCAGCAAGAGTCTGACGAATAATTATTCACAATAATTAATTGAAAAGATAAATGTGAACATACCTGGCAACACCTTTAGAAGAAACATAAATGTGAAAGAAAGAAGATGAATAACGAATATACCTGAGCTGGACGTCCTTTACTCCGTCTCTGCAGAGCAAGGCGTAGTTGGTTAAAGAGATCTCCAACAAGCTCCTTCTGATTTATAAGCTCTATCAACGTGGTACGATGACCTCGACTATGAACTAAAGCACTATACTGCAACATATATATATATATATATATATATATACACAAATGTGTTAATACTGCTAATTTTTTATTCTTGTATTTGATATATAGCAGCATACACCAACTGAATTCGATATTCGGAGAATATTATTAGAGCATACAACAAACCTCTTCTTCTAGTTCTCGGCAAATTAGAGCTGTACGCCATCGGAGATGAACTTTAGATTGGCTAACATCCGTATAAATATGATCACCCACATATAGAATTTCATCTCCTTGAATGCCAAGTGATTTTTCAACCATCTGGGCACTCCCTCCAGAGTATACTCCCCCTGCATTAATACACATATAATCTCTTCCGATTATGTGTAATGTGGTAAAAGACCAGGACGGTGATCTAAGGGATTTTGAAATGCTAGGGATAAATGATACCACAGGCTACAAAAACTTGAAAATGTTGACACCTACGTACTATCACCTGAATTAGCCTTAAAGCATGGGCGCATAAGGCCTTCACCAGTCACCACTTCATACATTGGGTGTGCCATTTGAAAAAACTCTGGCTTTCTGGCAGAGACTATTACCTATAGAAGAATCAGTCACCCGAATCATGGCCCAGGAATAATACACTTAATTTCACAGAGTTGTGATTCCAGTAAACAAGTCTTTTATGACCGATTTAGGTGTTCAAAACATGTGTTAAGTGTCAAGTAACATTTTGCAATAGAATGTGTCTCTATTACCTTGAACAAAGAAAACAAAGATAATTAAATAGAAGTCAGTTTGTCTTGGCAGTCAATTTACTCACTATGTCAAACAGATCTCGCCAGGTCATATCATTCGGAAGAAATCTATTGAAAGAATGCTGCATCATTTTTTCAGTGTAATGGTAGTCTGAGTTGGTAATAAGCAAGAGCTTTTTTCCAGCCTGTCATAGAACAGCGAAATTTGGTCTGTCGAGAAGTAATATTAAGGGTATATGCGGACATAAATGTAGAAATCCTTGAAATATAACCATGTACTCATCAAATACTCGTCAAAAAATGAATTAAAAGTACCTCCTTCTGATCCAACAGTGCCAAAGGTAGCTCCGGATCAGGTTCTACAAAGAGTTCAGGCTTCGACATTATCTCACTCTGCGAGTTTGTTCGCTGGTTAGACTATTCTTGTGCAACTGGATAGTGCAAATTCACAAATATAAAGGATGGATACCTTTAGCTGGCCTTCAACATGTGCCCTGAAGAGTGCTTTTCCAACAGCCTGAAGGCAATACGATGAAGTTAAGGCATTTTAATACATGTAAAACGTTAAATTCCAAATATTTTTTTCCAACATCAAACCTTGTAAAGCCCCTTATAATCAAGCGGACCAAGATCTGTGGCTATAGCTCCTTCATCCAATCTATCTACGAGCTGAGTATAAAGTATACCAGTTATATAAAGTCATATTGCAAAAAGACCACAAAATCAAGGAGGATGGAGTACTGTCCACTGTGTTTCTAGACTAACCATTTTAATCAATTGTGCATTATCATCTTCAGTAGCTTCAAATATGGATAAATATTGTTATCTTCATACATATATTTACATCCTCATTGATTTAAACCAAAGCAATGGACCAGTCCTTCAAGTTTTAAATGTCTCCAACAGGCAACTTGTTTACTTTTAATATAAACTACTTTCAATTGATATTCATTTTTTTTTTTCTCTCCATATAGTTAATGGATATACTTTTTTACTGAGATAGATGATGAATGGATATAAGGAAGTAGAGTTAATGGACTATTCTTTCACAAACATAAAAGAAAAGAAAGAACTAATGGACAAAAAGTGAGCTACACTTAAGAGAATTTCCCAGAAATTTATATATAAACGCACTAAAATGTGGAGGTCGTCTACCTGCATATAAGCAACAGCCTCTGAAACGGAGAATAGTGTATTTAGGAACTCCCACCGGCTCTCCTTCCGTAGATCCACAAGTTCTCTCCCATACATCTCACTTCATTCAGGAAATGTTAATTAGTACACTATAATTTAATTTCACTAGATTACATAATAAACCAGGAATTAAAAAACTTAAGCCGAATAAAACTCAAATTGAAGTGCATACTCTGGAGTCAAATAGCAAATCATGACTAAATATCATAATGCAACTTTTTACAAAACCTTCCTTTTTACCTGATGGAAATATGTGTTGCCATTGATCCCTACTTTGATCGATTAAAAGTGAGATTCACACGGACTAGATATAGGAAGATGTGTTGCCATTTACAAGGAATATTTAATGATAAATAAAGGGAAGTTTGAATAACACCTCAATGTCTGAGTAGACAACATTGTTGTTCCATGCATAGCCCGTTTGACGTATCCAAATCGATCTGCTTTAACTAAGTTCCCTTTCTCTTTGTCTATCACTAGGCCTCGAATGACCTACAAGCACAAGGTAACAGGATATTCTAGAATCAGCCAAAACAATATACCACTCTGACACTTGCTATCATAGAATATTGCGTACCAGTTCTGGGTCAAATGAAAGTCCATCAACAGGAAAGCCCATATTTTTCAAATTGTCCATGCAATAGTCATAAGCCCAAAATAACAAAACCAGTGTCCCATCTTTCGAATTTACTACTGAAATATGAAATCGTGGATTGAATCCACAAAATGATGAAAATTTTATTCAGTAGCTTAAAAGTCCTGAAGTAGACTTAGATTAATTACCCTTATACATATTTTAAGCTAGATGGATGATATTTGATACAATAATAACTTCTGACCGAAGTATGCAAGTGAAGTTCAGGCACAATGATTAAGATGATAAGTGAGAGCATAAATGACATGTATGCTGTAAACATCCATTTTCACCATCATGCCCTTCTTTATCATACTCACACAATTATTATGTAAGAAATGTAGAATGCAAACAAGGAAATAACTTCAAAGACAGCACAACTATTTTTGCTGGCTGTGAAAAAAAAAGTAGTTTTCTAATTACCGCCACATTATAATGCATCAATGTGTAGTCCATGTCATAGCCAATAGCACTAATTGACCGCAAATTAAGGGTTCGAGTACAGAAAATTCCACGAGGAGAGTATCTTGAAGAAAATGGGTCCTGTATAATTTGAGTGGAACATATAAAGTCAGCAGATTCAAGGGGAATTATAAGAAAGAAATAACACTCAGGTATGGGACAAGATAGCATATCATTATCAAGAATGAACATATGTATATAATAATGACTGACCGGAATGCCCAAGTGATTAAGCAAGTGTTCGGCTTCTTGAGCTTCCATTCTGGCCACATCCTCAATAGGACCGCCGTCCAGGCGTCTCTCCGTTTCTCCGTCATCGATTCCTACAAATAATAATAATTAAATAATTAATTAATTGATAAATTACCCAAGTTAAGGTTGAGGTCCCCTTTGGTGCTCTGCCCGAGGTAATCAAAATCGGCCTTGCTGGGAGAAGAAGCCGGAGTTCCCGTCCGTTGCGGCGGTGCACCGGCAGTTCAGTTTTTTAGTAGTAGTGGACGGCGGTGATTGAAAGTAAGAAAGGCCGAGTGAGGATGGTCGGAGTAGCGTAATGTTCGTCCTCCACCGTTGCGAAGTAACATTCTGATAATAGGTAGCAGAGGCAGTCGCCGCCGTCATGGCATTGGTGGCCATTCACAGTTGCAACTAGGGGACAACTATTTTGAATACTAATTTTTGCTTAGTTGAATACCAAAAAAATAAAAAATAAATAATTAATTGTAAATTACTTTAATACCCTTAATGAAAATTAAAACCAAAAAATATTACAAATACTATTTTTCTTTCTTAAAAACCAAATAATCAAAAACCTAAAAAAAACATTTCCCTCCTCACTCACAAACCCCTCACCTCCTCCACCTCCTTCTTCTCCCTCCCCAAAAACCCTCCTAAAAAACCCCAAAACAAAAGAAATCAAAACCTTACACAACTTGCAAAATGGCCTCAAATGACAATAGAATAGTAGTTTACGAGCAAGGAGAACCCATTCAAGTATGTATTCATGTATTTTTTGAGCTAAAACATCGATTTTGAATTTTTTTTTTTTTAAAACTCGCCATGTATTTTCGACACATACAGGTCGAAAATACCCTTATTTTTCGACGTGTATGTGTCGAAAATACCCTTAAGTGTCGAAAAAAAAAAAAAAAAAAAATTCACAGTTCAAATTCGACAGCTAGCTGTCGAATTTGAACTGATACAACAATTTCACCATTTTCGACATCTACATGTCGATTTTGGATGAATTTTCGACATCAACCTGTCGAAAATTCATCGAAAATCGACATATACAGGTCGAAAATGGTGAACGAAGAACCGACCCACGAATCTCAAATCAATGCTCAAATCGATTGAAATCAGATGCACCCATTACTAATTAACGATCATTCTAACCTAAAACAACCAAATCCTAATTACCCATATCAAACAATCAAATCTTAAATAAATATTAAAGAAAAAAAAATCGAAACAACTATAACTTACTATTCGAAGACGACGACGGCGGCGGCTTTGGGCGACGTTGGGCGGCGTTGGGCGGCGTTCGGCGGTGTTTGGCGTCGGCGTCCGGCGGCGGCGATGGTTGGAGCGGCGGCGGCGGCGTCGGGCGGCGTGGACGGAGGGAGGTGGACGGAGGGAGGTTTTTTGTGTTTGAATTTTTTTTTTCTTTTTTTTATTTGGTTTTCAAGTAGGTAATTTCAAAGAAAAATTGATGTAATTAGTATTTTGTATGAAAGGGTATTTTTGTACTTTTATTTTTATTTTGGTATTAAAGTAAGAAAAAACTTATAAATATGTACTCAATTGTGGTTTTCAACTAGGTAGTATTCAACTAAGCAAAAATTAGTATTCAAAATAGTTGCCCCTTGCAACTATTATGCAATTAGCAAAATTGTATTTCAAATTCAATTTTCGAGTTTCAACAAATAGGTTTTTATATAATACGATAAAAAAAAATTATTTTAATCGAATAATTAGTTTTTCATTTTATTTGTAATTAACAACAGAAATAATAATATGTATATACTTTATAATTTCCTGAAAAACCAAAAAGATAATAAACATAATTCCATTGTGCAGATCCAATTAAATATGAATTTTTATTTTTAGTTTTGAATGAAATAAATAAATATAAATATCATGAAAAAGAAAGCAATATCCTCTCCCATATCACTTCTTGTTCGGCGGAGCACCGTCGTTTCTGCTGTCGTCGTGTCTTCTCTTTTACACCACCACCATTTTACTACGTACAAAAGAAAGCCCACATAGGGGGCGCTCTCCGACTCTAGAATTTTAGAGTAATCCCATGGCGGTCCGAGGCCTTCTCATGCCTTTCCCCAATACGTCGCCGTCGCATCCGGCGGTGGTGATGATCCCCGCAGTCATTTCGTGGTTCGGAAAAGTCTCCGGCCCCAGGCGGGCCCGCTTCTACTGCAGACACCACACCGCAGAAATCGACATGCCTGTGTCCATGTCCGAGTACAGACGAGACAAATTTGCCCAGAGAATGGGGGCGGCTGGCCTTAAACATCATCACCGAATTGGTCTGTATTAACTATTTCCACTTCCATTTTCTTCGGACATGAAAAACACAACTTGTCTCTTTCTTTGAGTTATTTCAGCAGTTTAAAGTTACTTCAAAGTATTACGGTTCAGCAATTTTGTTATTTTAGGTACTCTAAGAAAGTAAGATCCAATATCAAATCTTGTCTTGGTTCTTTCTTTTTTAAAGATTGGATTTTTGCAGAGTTCATTTTTTCCTTTATTGCACAATTTTTGTATGCAGCAATAGCTGTTTCGGGTGGTCCTGATAGTATGGCGCTGTGTGTATTGACTGCTGATTGGAAATCTGATAACCTTGTTGATTCTGCTACTGCTGTTACCACCAAAGGAAGAGGCAACCCAGTCGATGGCCTTTTAGCCATTGTTGTTGATCATGGATTGCGTCCAGAAAGTGCAGAGGAAGCAGACCTTGTCCGCAATCGAGTTTCAGATATGGGTAAGTAATGAATTCTAACCATATTTTTTTTTGCTTTTTGGAGATGGGCACTTGTTGTTGGTTTCTCTAGAAGGAAGGAAGATGGATAGATAATGTAGGTTGTCTATATATAGGAATAAAATGTGAAGTTGCCCGTTGCGATTGGTTGGACGGTAGACCCGGACCTGGTCACTTGCAAGAAGCAGCTCGCAATAAGAGGTGTTTTTCTTGTTAGCGTTTCCCTAACTATTGGGTTTGCTTTTCCTATATATAACCTCTTATCCATCCAGGTATGAAACTCTACAAACCATATGTATGCATCAGCAGATTAGCATACTGTTGGTCGCACACCATGCAGATGACCAGGTTTGCAGCATCTATTATATATATAGATATCATGTATTCATGTTCAGTTTTACTTTATTCCTTGTTATTTTGTATTATTGAAGTGCTCAAACATTATGTCTATGCTCCTGGCCCTTAGTCTTGCTCTTGTATGTATGATCCCAGTCAATGAACGGAATGACTGATTTATGTTTTTATGAAGCCAACGATATGTTTCTCAAATTTCTATTTTGATTCCGTAAATGTGAAATATTTTAATTGAAACGGGCAGAGTTTGAATGTCGTAGAAAATTGTATTTTGACCTCTAAGTTCTATAAGCATAGAAGAAGAGAAATTATGATGACTAACGCACAGGCACAATGCAGGCGGAGCTGTTCATTCTCAGATTATCTAGAAATAGTGGTGTTCTTGGTCTTGCTGGCATGTCATTTGCTTCACAAATGTTTTCGCAATTCCCTGATTTTTGTGGACAAGAATCAAAACCTCGAGGCATTTTAATAGTGAGACCACTTCTAGACTTCTCAAAAGAAGATATGTATGATGTAAGTCTTTATTAGCTGTTAGTTATGCTAGATGCTTCTAGCTATTTTTATTCATTTTTTCAATTGTTTATTAGTTGCTTTTTGAAGTAGTTACATAATTATTTTTGTTGGTTTTGCAGATATGTCGAAGTGGTAATCAACAATGGGTTGAAGATCCGACAAATAGGAGTCCCGTGTATGCTCGCAATAGGATCAGAATGTCATTAAGTAACTTGTCATCATGTAAGACATTATACCCATGCTGGTCTTTGATTATAATGGAAAATGAATGACATATGATTAGGTATTGACCACTTAGGATTTTGTAGGTTACTGCCACTGGATTGTTTACATACTTAAACATACATATAATCAATGTATGAGAAGTTTCATTAGGCTGGCGTTTTCAATAATTTGGTGCTAAATTAGAAATTAAGTCTGAAGTCTGATCATGTAAAGTGCTACAGCTACCATTTCCGATAACTGATTTCAGCTTGGCTGGATGTGTTATTTATTTATTTTTATTTGAAGTGTGGAGTGCTGTTATTAAATATTGTCTTCTCTATTTGAAAATGGTAATGATTATTTTTAATATGCACAGCTATATTCAAGATTGAGTTGCAAGCAACTATATCGGCATGTCGAAGAACCCGATTGCTTGTTGACAAATTCTGTAATCTGTTGCTGAAGCAGGCTGTGACCATCATGCATGTATGCTCTTTTATTGACATGCTTTTGTTTTGTGATAACATGCTGTTTTATTTTGATTGTCCTCCTAACATCAATGCAGCATGGCTATGCAGTGATTGATCTAGAAACTCTCCGTTCAATGGAAGTCAAGGATATTTACCTCGCAAAGTTTGTTACTTCAGTAGTGCAGGTATTGCCAATTAGCATGATGCACATTTCATACAAGAATCTCATTTCAATTAGTCTATTTGTTTTGGGTGCATCAGTTCATCTCACAAAGACACAGACCAGTTAGAGGGAAGGCGGTGAAATTGCTACAAAGCTACATTCGTACTTTCCCATCCAAGGTTAATAATAATAATAATGTAGTTCTCTGCTGCTGCAACACTTTCTTTAAAACGATTCACCTCTGCTTTAAAACGATTAACTAATGAGTTGTTCATTGGAATGTTTACAGACTAGTCTGACTGTAGGTGGCTGTTATCTATGTCCAGCTCCTGGATCCAAAGGAACTAAGGTCCTTGTATGCTGCTCTATCAATTTGTCTTTCCCTGTGACTATGAAGTTGTTTCATCCGTTTTCTTGCTTTCCGACAAGCGATTTAGAGCAGATTGTAAAAGAAAGTGAAGCGTATTTGGATAGATTTACGCCTGATGCTTATTCCAGTGCTCCATTTTCAGACATGGCATCATCCTCTGAGTCTGTGCTAATCGAAGCCAAACAGCTGGGCATTCTTAGTCATTCCACGTATGAGAGTATTGTTTCCTTGCAGCAGGAAGAAAGTGATAATTTTAAGTCAAAAGCTGAAGCTGTCTCTAAGTTTGCGTCGAAAGATGAAATACAATCTTCAAATGATGCAGCAACAGATTTGAACAATTTTATTATGCCTGGCCAAGTAGGTTACTTCATGGATAGATTTGTAGTAGATTGGAAGATGTATGATGGAGAAGGAGATTGTTTTTGCAGCAGTGGTGATGAGAGGGGGGCAGAGGTGCGCCACATGGTGGATGCTGATTGGTTGTATCTTTCGGAATTGTCGAAGAAGAAGAACAAGGCAAATGTGGGACCACCAGAAGAAAATAATCATGAGACAATAAAGGATGATAAATGCAGCAGCAGCCATTATAGTATATTGTCGGCAAGTAGAGCTATTGAATGCATAAAGTCTATTCCAGTTGCTGCCAGAAGAAGTATGCCTGTCCTGGTTAACGCTCAAGGACTTGTATTGAGCATTCCGGTATGTACCGAAACAATTTCTGTTTTACCAATTATGTTACAAAACCGAAAAAGGGTTTTTGTTACGGTGTTTGTGTTATATACTTGTCTCAGTTTATTCTTATATACATGTTCTTATTCTGTGTATATATCTAAAATAGTAAACTCTTTTGTGTTTGTTGGTTTCAGAGCATCGGTTTTGCACAATGCCCTCATTTGATGAAGGTGTCTGTTGTGTTCAGTCCTAGGATACCTCTAGGTGGAGGTCATACCTCATTTTTGTAGTTTCGAACAAATGTGGAAGAGATGGAAACACAAGGGTACGTGCGGTTGAGATTTTAGAGTTAGTAGAGATTTTTACATTTATGCTGTACTGTACTATCAGATAGTATATGAAATGGATAGTACTTATTTGATGGAGAAAAAACAATTAATGCAGATTTATCAACATATTTGAGGTAGTTGTTCATTTATCAGTTCTGTTTCACATTAAATGTCATTTAAGTTGGTAAAAATAAATTAATTTTGCCTTAAAATCTTAAAGTGACACTTAATATGGAAAAAAAGAAAATGACCAAAGTGACACTTAAAATGAAACAAAGGTAGTAGTAGAATGAGAAAGATACATAAACAAAAAAAGAATAAATAAATTGAAAATAATTATAATTGACTAATGTTAGTTTTAGAAGAAATCCTTTCATGCATAGGAAGGAAAAAGAGTTAACAAGAAATTAAATTAATTGATGCATTGAGCCAAAGAGGAAAATACCAGACACAAGTAGGTCATTAAGTGCAGTACAACGAACAAGAGAGAATGAAATAACATTGTTGTTTTTTTTTTTCTACTTGTAATTGAATGTAAGCAATTCTTTTTATATCACTTTTTCATTTATTCTTTTCTTTTTTTGAAATGGAGTCAAAAGATATTTGATTTTATAGTTCTAAAGTATGAACCACCCCTTGATTGTTGCAACAGCTAATAAAAAGAGTTCCCCTTGGACTAGGTACGAACAGGAAGGATGAAAGAGAGTCGGTATGCTAACTCCTCATTTACATTGTCGTAACAAAAATATTGATCTGATAGTTATACATTAAATAAACTTAGGCCCCGTTTGGTTGCCAAGATTAACTAAATAATAGGACTTTGTTCGATGTTTGGTATCCCCAATAACTTGGCGGGTCGACCCGCAAAAATTATATAATCATGGCTTATCTTGCCTTTTAGGTAGTTTTTTTTGTTGGTCGTATCGAGCACCAATAAAATAATTGGGTCATCATTAGATTATTTAGTTAATCTTGGCTAATCTTATCTTGGCAACCAAACGGGGCCTTAATGTAGAAATTCATGTTGATCTGGAATCAAAGAAAGATAGTGCAAATGACTCCTATGTTGTGACTTGGAGGAAGGGTTTGTCTCTAGAGGAAATCTAGGAATAAGAAGATTGAATTCGAAAAATGGACAAATTATTGCCTAGAATGTAAGTGCAGTGCAGTGAACAAGAGAAAGAAAGATATAATTGAAGAAGTAAGCGAGCATATCAAATTCCAAATGGCGTGGAGTTCCACAAGCGTTTCATTCCTTTCCTGTCGAGCCACTTTGAATCAACAAGGTTGTTAAACATAGCTAAAACAATTACAAAACAAACTCAAGTCCCAAAATTATTCCTTATAATCAACAAGTTGGATCTTGTATTTTTAGTGCAAAGATAAAAGATTTGGACAAGGCTCTGCTGGTCTGTTCTCAGTGTTCTGGTTCTTATCAAAACAGAAACATACTTGAAGTCCTAAGTACATGAAAAATACCTACTTTATGGAAGAAAAATGAAATTACAGCCTCTAATTTAAAATAAAGGGATTTGTCCTACAATTACATTTTTTTTTTCTCCAATAAATATGCAATCACACTCCAACAATATTGTTTATTAGTTTACACAACTAGCATATTTTATTATTTTACAACATTTTAATTTTGAGTTAGTTTTAAAAACCATATTCCAAAAATAATTAAAAGGGCAAATTACCAAAACCCCCCTGAGGTAAGGCTGAATAACGAAAATCCCTCCCATGTTTGCGTAATTACGAAAATCCCCCTGAGGTATGTTGTCGTCTAACAAATTTCCCCTACGGTGTTACTTCTAACGGAATCTTTTTGATTCCATGGAATATTCCTCTGAAAATGACATTCTTGCCCTTGAGAGATAAATTGTAAGCATTTTAATTACTTAGGGGGTAAATTGTAATTTTAAAACTATAATGTATTTCTTCATTTTATAATTATTAAAAAGATAAAATATATATAAAATAATTAAAGAAATCTCGTACCATTAAAAGTTTTTATTTGTTTTGTAATTTTTTTTATATATTTTGTTTATTCAATAAAATCGAGGTTACGCATTTTTGAAATATTCTCGTATTTCTTATTTTATGCTACAAATATTTTCAATAGTTTTTTTAATATTATGGTAATTGTCAATATATTATTATATTTTTTTCGTCAAAAGTAACACCGTAGGGGGGTTGTGTAATACTTAAAAAAACGTAGTTATTTTAATTTAAAACTATAATATATTTCTTCATTTTATAATTATTAAAAATATACAAAAAAATATAAAAAATAATTAAACATATCTTGTAACATAAAAAGTTTTTACCTGTTTTGTATTTTTTATATATTTTTATATTTTTTTGATTCAATAAAATTGAGTTTACATATTTTTGAAATATTCTCGTATTTCTTATTTTACGCTACAAATATTTTTAATAATTTTTAATATTTGTTTAATTATATTTCAATTTTAAACAAACGAAATGTAAAAAGTATATATTAAATATAAATAAATCATAATATTCCCTTGATTGTTTTTCAAATAACAAAAGCTACAACGGAAAAAACACATTTTCTATCAATTTAAACGGTCAAACACAGGTCAGAGGGGGATTTTAGTAATTAGACTTTACCTCAGGGGGGTTTTCGTAATTCTTTTATTTTTTTTACATATTTAACAGAAGGGTATAATAGACTTTTCACGTTTTCCGTTAAAAAAAAATCGGTCAACTGTTAGTCAAGGGGGTTTTTCATAATTACGACTTACAGTATATCTAGCAAACGATATAATTTTGGAATTACATATATCTAAAACATACTCGATCGGTGATTAGTCTCCGTGGAATACAACATCTTGCAAGAATTTCAGTTGCTTTTGAGGACTTAGAAAATGATGTATCAATGGCGTCAATCCTATCATCGTTATCAATCTGCTGTACTGATGGCAATAGCAATAGTGTTATTACTACTGTTACCAGCGGCGATGGGAGATGAGAATTCTAGGTCAATTATATCTAGATTCCAGGAATACCTCAGACCGATTTCATCACCTCCCAAGCCAAGTCCCTCTCATTGGACTCCCAAATTTTGGAGTTGGTACCGGGCAAGCCACTTGTTCTCCTCAAGTGGGCCGGCAATAACCCGTCTGAGTTCAACAAGTGGGACCACCCCCCTTTCGATGCCCGACGAGGAAATTGGCGGACATGACGGCGCTGAGAAGTTCGCGTTGGGATTGGCTTCGCCCACTCAAAATTACAGGGTGTTCTACGGAGAGAGGTGCCCCTGGTGGCTTGTATTGAAGGCTACACTTTACGACAACACTGCCATGGAGAATTTACTCAAGAGCATCGAGACTGTTCGGAGATTCAGGGCCTCTCAGTTTGATCTGGTGAAAGCTGGACACAAGGCTGAAGGGGAGGTCATTTCTGTTAACATGGTCTTCTTGAAAGCTGGAACTCCTTCTCCTACTGTGAGTCCCATCTCCATCTACTGCTTTAACTGCTCTATAAACCATTTATTGCTCTACCCTGTCACAGTGATGCTTGTGCACTATGATTTTGTGCTACTTTTACTATACATATGATTATTTTCATCCACGAATTGTCATCTAGCATTTCTCATGTCCACAGAATTTCAAAATGCATCTCTTGTAGCATTTCTCATGTTATTCATTCCTTGTTTTCCTTGTGCTCATTTTGAAATTGAAAAATATCATACTACATGTTTCTTGCTTGTATGCCAGTTCTTTTAGTTCTCTGCATTTGATACAGACACAATATGTTTTAGTTCTTTTGGTTCTCTTTTAGGTTTGGACGTTCCATTTATTTGTTATGCTAAGCTTTATCTTCTCTCTTTATGTGGATAAGCAGGATGATATATTAATATATTAGAACTAAAGCAACACAATTATGTAAACTAACAATCATCTGTTACCTTTTTAACTAGTTTTCATGTGTGGCAGGGTTTTGTCATGAATTTGCAACCATCAGAAGCTCAAGCAGGTTTTGATATCCGGGTCCCACCAACGGCAGATGTAGTATCCTTGGAGAGACGAATTGCAGAGGAATGGGCGCCTGCTACTCGTAATATGACCTTTGAGGTGAGAAAATATACGAAGCCACGTTATATCTTTACTGATGTTGGATCAGTCAAAGCACTTTTCGGAAATATCACTGTTGCTATATTTTTTCCGGCTGTATAGGTTTCTGTTAATTATTTTCTTTAGGGGCCATTCTTGAGGCAATTAAGCAGAAAGGGCCAAATAGTGAAACATCAGAATATCAAGTATTATGTGTGAAGATTGGTGTTCACCTGCTTTGACTTTATGGTTGAGCATCTGCTTATTTATGATTTTGTAGCCATCCATTAGACTGGAGGAAATAGTGCTTACTGCTTGCCTAAGTTAATAAAAATTTCTATGTTTGTATAATAAGTTACCGTTCCTAACGTTTTTGGGAGTTGTGACAGTTCAAGCAGAAGGGATCTACATATAACAAGTTTGGAAAACAAATTCTTACAGCATTTGACAGTTCAAATCCTTGGTGGGCTCTTTTAGAAGATGCAATAAAAAGTGCCGATGGGGAACTTGGAAAACCTGAGATATTTCCTGCTTCAACAGATGCTCGCTATTTCAGGGAACTTGGATTACCAGCAATTGGCTTTTCTCCTATGGCAAACACACCAATTCTACTTCATGACCACAACGAGGTGAATATTTCCTTCTTATCTGCTTTGTGGCTTCATTTTGTTCGGGTTTTATTTGCATGAAGTTAAAGGATCTTTTAAATTTTTCAATGATTTACCTAACGATTTATATGGCTCATCATGGCTGGTATGCAATTGAAAGAATTGAAATAAATTAAGTAATCGTTTGGTTGCACAGTTCCTGAACAAGAATGAGTACTTGCGGGGGATTCACATGTACGAGTCAATAATCAAAGCTTATGCATCATACGTTGAACCTACGAAAGATGAAGCTTCCAGGGCGGAGTTGTAAGGAAGGGAAGAAGCTGGATCAGTAAAGACAAACCAGCAATACTTTCCCCACTGAGCACCTCTGTATGAATTCCAACTTTTGAGTTGAGTTTGCTTTAGGCCCTAATCAATTTGTAAAGCTTGTTGGCTGACAACTATTTGGACTCGATTATAATACAGTGGCCGACTAGTTTCATTAAATTATTATAACGATTTTGATATTTTCACCATATTTTAATAAACATTGTTGGTTTGAAAAAATGAATTTTGTGAAAAAATGTGGTTTTAGAAATTTGTATAAGCGAAATATGTGATGAGGGGTATTTTAGTACTTTGCTAATAAAAAAATGATTTTTGGTATTAACCTAAAAAAAATTGTAAAAACTTTGCTAAAATATGGTATTAAACTTGGTGGTACTCAAGTGAGAAAAATATGGTACTTGAAATAGCCGTCCCCATAATTCTATTCACACAATTCGCTTTAAAAAACTTACTTATAAAATAATTATTTATCTATTGCAAAAGGGGGCAAGAAATTCAATTCCAAATTTTTCTCACTTCAATACCAACAAAACAAAAATTAGATAATAAATAGTTAATGTCATAAATACCCTTAATGAAAATCAATATCACACAAACATTAAATCTCAATTTTCTTTCTTTAATACCACACATACAAAACCTCTCTCACACCTCTCCTTCACAAACCCATCGTCCCCCTTCTTCTTCTTCACAACAAACCCTCCAAAAAATCTCAAAACTAAAGAAATCAAAATCTTATACAACTTGCAAAATGGAGTCAAATGACAACAAAAATGGTAGTTTACATAGAAGGAGAACCCATTAAAGTATGTATCCATGTTTTTTTTGAGCTTGTAAGTCGAATTTGAAGTTTTTTTTTTGAACTCCGTCGACAATTTTTCGACGCATACAGGTCGAATTTTTGCCAATTTTGGACACATACAGGTCGAATTTTTGCCAATTTTCGACACCAACTTGTCGAAAAATATTAAAAAACAAAAAAAAGTGAATTTCGACACATACATGTCGAAATTTTACAAATATATATGTTATTTGGGATTGAATTGTGGTTTTAAACTAAGTGGTATTGAAATGAGAAAAATTTGGGATTGAATTTAGCCGCCCCATTGCAAAATTGGATATCTCTTATCTATTGACAATAATGAACAAGTATACGTATATTATATTTGCAATTAGATGTTTAAATCTTCTTTTAACGATTAAATGCGTAGTATATAACATGTTTATACATAAGCAACCAACAAATAGTTTATATAAAAATTGTTTACTAAGTTTTGTATAGACAAGCAAAATCATAAAAAATCGTAGCTTTTCTAGCAAGAAATCTCTTTGCTACTTTCTGGATGGTCAAAGCAGCAGAATTTCTCCTCCTGTGCCAATAAATATGACAAGCAACTTGCTAATAAAATCTACTTTACTTGAGCTAATAAAATCTACTTTATTCAGAAATAAAGTTGCTTAGGGGATTTCCCCAACAATATCCGAAGCCCTAGTAACAAATGAAACAATTTAACTTAAAGATGATTAGCACCTAAAACCAAAATAATAACCTCAGCTGCAGTTGTTAAATGGCTCTGATCTGGTAATAAAACTTATAACTAACATAAATACCAGTATTTGAAGAAGAAAAGAATAATACAATAATAGAAGAGAGAATTTGAAGAACAAAAACATGACAGATGTTTCTTCAAATCTTTTACACAGAGACAAAAGCAAAGCTTCTACTAAGGAGATTTTTTCTAGCAACAGTCTCTTTGGAAGAAGAGAGGAAATGCTCAAACGGAAAACAAATACATTTGTCCGGCAAAATAAGTATAGAAATCAAAATCAGTCAAAAACTTTATAGTCTTCTTAGGCCCAATGGTGTCACTGTCGAGTTCAGGCTCTTCTCCCTTTTCCTTATCTCTTTTTTTGTACTCTTCCTTATCTCTTCTGTATTTGTCAATATCAGCGCGATATATTTCCAGTATCACGTGGAGATTTTTGGTCGTCATATGGTGTGGATGGGGCCGTGCATGCAAAACACCGATATCATAAACACCATCTTTACCACCTAAGGATGTGATGTATGGATAAACTCCACAACCATATATTAGATCCATTGGAACTTCTGTTCCATAAGCAGCAGCATCTGGAAACCATGATAGGGGGAGATAATGTATTTGACCACGATCTTCACTATCATAAGCCAAGTCAGGTGTGAAATAAACCCCACCAATGCCTACAAAATAGCCATCATCCAGAGGAATCTTAAAATCACGCGATACTTCCCATTCTTTGGTACTAGCATTAAGATCGAGGACAAATGCTTCATTCTCCATCTGAATCCGAAAACGCGAGTCGGTCTCAAATCCATAAGACCTAAACAAGACCTAAATAAGACCTCAAGAAGACCTAAACAAGACCTAAATAAGACCTAAACAAGACCTAAACAAGTCCTAAATAAAAGATAAAGAAGACCTAAAAAAGACCTAAACGAAGAACTAAACTAAGACCTAAAGTAAGACCTAAAGTAAGACCTAACCGAAGACCTAAACGAAGACCTAAACTAGACCTAAACAAGACCTAAACTAAGACCTTAAGTAACACCTAAACTAAGACCTAAACGAAGACCTAAACGAAGACCTAAACAAGACCTAAACAAGACGCAAACTAAGACCTAAACAAGACCTAAACGAAGACCTAAACAAGACCTAAACAAGACCCAAACTAAGACCTAAACAAGACCTAAACGAAGACCTAAACTAAGACCTAAACTAAGACCTAAACAAGACCTAAACGAAGACCTAAACTAGACCTAAACAAGACCTAAAGTAAGACCTTAGGGTTTACGTATATTGGCTTCAGTTCGAGTTTATTGAAGCTTGTGTTCAATTTAGGGTTTATGTTGGAAAAAATTGGGTCTTTAATTAGTGTGAGTTTTTGCCAGTTTGAAGCTTGTAGGTGTTTATTGAACTGATAGGTTATATTATATACGACTTTCTGTAATTAATCCATGAACGTTTCTACTACAGCAGTGGTGGAGTTTTATCTGTGTGTCCGTCTTTCGGTACTGTTTAGAAATGGCAATATTTGGTATATTTGAAATAACAAGCAGATCACCAACTATTTCATATCTAGAAATGCTATTGTCTATTTTGGTTGTTTTCTAATTTCTATAACTTATATATTCGCATGCATCAGACCACTCGGGGGCAGACATGATGGATGAATTTGGCCGATTATTCTATCTGCCTTCGGTCGGTCAGGTAAATACTAGGCCGTTTGAGGGTTCTAATAAAGCAAGAGAAGGAACCACTATGTCTTGGGAAGACAAGGCTAGTAAGCTTCAACTAACACAGAGGTTCAAGGGTTGTAATGAAGCAAGAGAGGAAGCCAGTACTATGCCTGTGAGGTCGAAAGAGACGGCTGTGAGGTTGAAAGAGAAGGCTATTGAGATTCATTTAACTAAGAGGTTTACGGATAGGGTGTTTTTCTGGCCTGAGTGGCTTATTATGATGCTATTGGAGCTTAAGATGGCGAAGAAGGTGCGTCTCGGTGAAATTAAAGGAGGTGATTCGGTTATTGTTGACCTTGATTCTGATGGGCATGTGGTGGTTCTTGGAGGTAGCAGCGGTGCTCCGGCGGAACAGGCTGAGGAACCGGTTGTTGTCTAGATGTGGGCCCCATTGCCTTTTTCTGCTTGGTTTGATTGTTTTTTTTTTTTTTTTTTTTTTTTTTTTTTTTTTTTTTTCTGGCGCTTTGTTGAAGTGCAAAGTTATGAGTTTGAAATCCGTTAAGTCCAGATAATTTGTTATTAGAATTTGAAACTTTAAGCTCAAAGTATTTTATCCAAATTAAATAGTACCTCAGTGAAAGGTTCAGTTTAAATTATTATCTGGTGAAAGAGTATGTTCTTCCACTTTATGCACATTTATTTAAATCAATTCCATAACGAGTATCCTTTTTTCCTGCTAATAGGCAATAAGCTGCTCAATCCAACATTCTTCCCACAAATCGGGCAAACCTTCATAACCGGAACCAGTCTTCTTTAATTTGTTGCCATTCCATCGATACTTTCCCGTGCAGCTTTTGATCCAAGTCCAATAGGATCCTCGAGAAACCATCGTCTGGCTGGGCCCTATGATGAGCTTGTTTCAGGGCATTCCACGCTTGCAACAGAGTGTAGTATGTGCATGATAACAGAAAAAAATATCTTCACCAATGTGTGCATGAGGAGATAAATGTTATACCTAATGATGGAGAAAGGATATGATTTGCCGGTCAATTTTTAGTTCTAGGTGCATTATTAGGGCCGTATATCAGACGGATCAGAGCATAGAAAAATTTCAATTATCTTTTTGGGAAGTAGAAAACTAATTTCAATTCCCATTAAAAAAATCAAAAAATCGGAATTTCAAAAACTTGTATGAAAATATTTGCTCCATAATCGCAAATTTTGGAATCGGAATTGGGAAATTCCAATTCCTTAGTCGCCTAGAATACAAAATACATAATAATATTGATATTAAGAATTACGAGTATAATTTTCGAAAAAAAAAAATGGAAATTAAAATCCGATTATTGGTTATCAGAATTCACAATCTAATATGTGTTCCAATTAATTTAAAAAAAAAATAAGTAAAAGAAAAATAAAATCAGAAATCGGAACTTTAGGAATTCAGAATGAAAATGGGACTGATTAGACCGAAAGTAACACTTTTCCCAAGAAAAAGAAAAACTAATTTTCTCTTCCAAAAATGAAAGTCTAATTCCAATTCATGTTCCAAACAAATTCAAGAAAAAAAAAAATTGAAAATTAAAATTTTGGAAATTGAAATAAAACTGGTGTTCCCAAATCAGAAATGTTTGGATTTTTTTTTTCTTTTGGATTGTGGAAATATAATGTTCGGATTCAAATCATCGTAATTCATATATTCCATTTTTCATCCACCTCTAATACAAGGGGTAAAATACATTTCATTCCTGAGGTTTACATTCAAAATCAAATTAGTCATGTGTTTTTAATTACGTTCAATGTCATCCGACGTGTACAATTTCAATGCCAAAATAAAAAATATTTTACATAATCCCCACATTGCCCTTGAAAATTTGGGGGACTAAAATAAAAATAAGTATTTTGATTTATAAAAAACAAAACATACTAAATCCAAATAAAAATATACATGTTTGGAGTTGAATACAAATA